AGATCCAATTTTTAAGCAACGACCCACCATCATCCACTTCTCCCTTATCAATGGGCGTTTCACAGTCGGCTCAAATCCCATCTGAAGACGAGCAGCAAGAAGAGGAAGACGAAGACGACGACGTCTCGTTCGGCACAACATTTCAAATGACACAGCGAGATCTCGTCGTGGTGAAGAAGATCCTGGAGCAGGAGCCGGAGATGCTGCCGTGCCACGCGTCTACCGGCGGCTATGGTCGGCCTGACTGTGAAGTCGACTTGGTGGTTGTGGATGGCGACCAAGGCCGGTAGCTATCGGACCTCGGTGGTACAGGATTTTGGTTGGCGTCGGTCGTGTCAATTGGAGCTGGGCCACGGTTTTGGTGGGGCTCTAATCCTGTGTCCATGGTGAGATGGGGTCTATGTGGTGATTTGAGGGCCCGATTTGGGGTGATGGATGTGGTAATTAGGGTTGATTAATTTAAGGACTTTTATAGGCAGAGTTGATTGGATTTAGATAAGGATGAAAGTATATGTGCAAATATGTTGAGTGATTTTGTATATTTGCAAATAAATATTAATTGGGTGTAAATATACAAGATAAAATATAATTGAGAGTATAGGGGGTAAATTCCTCTATTAGCTTTATCCAACTGATAGAATCAGGTCCAAATAACTTGTTTGTTTCGTGTCCAATATTAATTACTATAAAGAAGATTCCACATAATTAACCTTCATTTACAATTAAATTTTCAAAGTGCATCCTTAAATCGAACTGGCCGACGCACACAACTTCATGAACCCCAAGAAAAAAATTGACATATCTAACACAAAATTGAACTGGCCAACACCAATAGTGATCCCAAATTAAATCGAGTGTATGAACTATGACGTCGCTAAGCTATGCAGATCCGAAATCTTCTCATGCCCAACTTCCATTTCATCTACCTCCATCTCCCATTTCATTTGCGAAATTCAAAAATAAAGCGGAGAAAAATGACGGGAATTTGGATTTCGGGGTTCTAATTCGAGTTAAATTAAATGAAAGCAAAAGGATTTCCAAAGGTCTTTTGCGCAGAACAAAAATTATCTGTGAACAACTACCTATTGGAGAACAGAGGTGTTGGGAAGGTGGTTGAATGATGTTGTGCCTCGCGGTCGACGGTTCCGGTTCCAGCACCTTCTTAACACCCAATCCCCAGCAGACCTCACAGCTCTTGTCTCGACGGACCACCGAGTTGACCATATCCCAGACTGCTATTTCATAAAGAACTACAAGCTTGGTGGGAAAGTAGCTTGGGGACATTTGTGTAACTTAGGCTCATGAGCTCAACATGATAGTGTATCCAACAAAATTTGTGGGATACGGTATAAACAAGTTAATGGATATGCCAAGAGGCAAAAGTTATTTTCAGGGGTTAATGGTTGCAAACCAAACGTGTCAAAAGGATGGATAATATACCAAATAGTTTGATATCACTCCCTATCATGTCAACCAAACTGACCCTAGGGGTGGGAGCAGTCCGGCCCCGGAACCGATCCCACTTTTATGAACCGGTCCGAGAATGGTCCGGGATGAGGCACGTCCCAAATGAGCCGATATCGTTTGGGACCGAGACAAAAATGGATAAACATATAAACTAAACCAAAGAGTATTGATTCTATTAAAATTTAAAACAAACAACCAACATGTTGATTTCATGATTCGATTAAAAAAAACACACAGATTCAAGTGTTCACTTAGACCAAATCTATTACTATAAAATATAGAGAAGAAAAAATATTTGAAAAAATATTTCAATTTCCCGCTTAAAAGTTGTTTTCCCCCCTAAAGTTTAATTTGAATTTTTTTCATGCAGGTATTTGAATTGTTTTTATTCCATGCATGCACGTTTTCAATTTTTTTGGGATTTAAATTTCATTTGTATATATATATATATAGAGAAAGGATCATATGAGAATGACTCTTAATGCGAGAAATGAGAATAAGTCTAGATCATTGGATCCAACATTTGATCAATGAAGTCAATGACCATGATGAAGTCAAGTTTTCATAAATAATGGTCAATCATTAATGGCAATTTGGTAATTATTTAAACTATTATGGTCAAATATGTATATTTGACCAATAATTAAGGGTAAGTTGGTAAATACACCTATAATACATTGACCCACAATTTCATCTCCCCCTCACAAAGACACGATTTCTCACACACACACACACACACTCCAACGAGCCCGGCGGAAATCAGCCCACAAACACCCGGTCTCCGCCGCCGCCATCGGATCGCCGGCGTTGCCTCCGATACCATCCAGTCGACCGCCGTCATCCATCTCTAGCAGCGCCTCCCTTTCCCGTCCTTCCGGACACGCTGGAATCATCCCAACACAAACCACCGGCCACTGCCATTGCCCAATTTATCCCGTCGCTGCCCAATCTATCGCCGCCGTCGCTGCCGCTAACATCCTGTCGAGCGTCGTCAACCATCCCTGTCTCAAACTCACGCAGCCGCCCGTCGAGCACCCCGATTTTACTGATGGCGAGGGCCGCCGTTCCGGCGAGTTGCATAGGATGCTATTGTGGGTGAGGAATTGAACGGGATGAGCTCGCCGCCGATCTGAACTGGAGATGGGAAGCGGCGGCCGGAGATGCTATTGTGGCTGAGGAATTGAATGGTGATTCAGTTGAATTTTGAATTGGCTGATTTTATGTGAGATTTGGGTGAATTGGATCATATGTGATTCCTGTGAATGATTTAGTTGATTCATGTGAAGAATTCGGTGAATTTGCTGTGAATGATTTAGGTGAGATTTTTATTTTGAGTGATTTGGATGTGAATTGATTTAGGTGAATTAAACTTGAATGATTTTGATTCTGTGAACGATTTTCGGTAAATTTTCCCTCTGATTCTTTGAACGATTTTAGGTGAACTGGCAGTGAAGTGAGCAATTTTGGTTGATTTGGGTGAGAATTGATTTAGTGGTTAGTTTTATGTAAATTAGGTTAATGTTAGGGACTTTTTGTAATTTTTGTAAAATTTTAATTATGACATAAATTAATTAGTGATATTAATATTTATACTTAATTATTAAGAATTTAATAAATACAAAGATAGTGCTAAGTAATTTTTAAAACCTAAAAAAAAATGATTTCGTACCGAAATACTCAATATATAAAATAATAATAATAATAATAATAATAATAATAACAACAATAATAGAACAAAAATATAAAAATTCGTACGGAATTTTTGTTCGTTGGATATCGTTCGTTTTTGTGCAATGTGATAGACAGTTGTGTGCAATCTGTAACCCTGATGTGCAATGGCAATACATAAAAAAATATAGATAAAAAAATAGTATTAATTATAATAAAAAAACATAAATAAATAAATAAATAATCGGTAATATTCTTCCGTATAGTTCGGCATGTGCGGTTATTTTGTTTAAAAAAAAACTAATTCTGACATTAACTAACTAATATTATTCAATCGATTATGATAATTACTGTAATTTTGATAAGTGCAATGTGTTGTGTTATAAAATGCAACATATTGTTTTATAAAGTGCAATTTATTGATATATAAAGTGCAATAATGATATTCTAGTATGATATCACNTATTTCATCGTTTACAAATTTAAAATTGCATAATTTAAACAAAACAAAAAAAAGAGAGAAAAAAAAAACGATATCAAACCAAATTTTTAAAAGTGTATAATTTAAACAAAAAAAAAATCGATAGGAAACCAAAGTAACCGACATTTTAAACGTAAAAACAAATAATCGAATTCGAAAATATAAAAATTCAATCGAAAAATTTAGTTCGTTTGGCTTCGGTCGCTATCGTTCAATCTAATAGTCATTAATATTCAATTAGTCTGACACTATTGTGTACTCACAATAAATATATTTTTTTAATAATTTGTCCCACTCCAAATTAATTAAGAACTGAAATAATAGATTTATTGGATCGGATAACCAAAATACTATAAATAGTAGAAGCGATTGATTTTGTAATAATAAAAAAAATATATTTAGAAATTTTTATATATTATTTTTAGTTGAAATGACATAATTATAAAATTTTGAAATAAATAAAGTGCATCCCTGCAGATATTAATGTGCATTTCCTGTAACATTATTGTGCAGTCTATTGATCGGAAGTACTTTTATGTGCATTTCAAATTTAGGAAAGTCAATAATGTGTTTTCAATTAGCATTATTTTTCTAAATATCAAATTGTTTATATAGTAAAAATAGACTTATTAATGTTGATTTTTATTTAATAATTTATATTGTCGTATGTCAAAAATAAATAATATATGTATTTAAAAATATAAAAAATATATTTTTTATATAGTTCGATCAATTATGATATTCCAATTTCTTTGTTTAAGAAAAAAGGACCAAAATTTTCATATTATGTGAAAAATCACACTAGCATACACCGCTTGTTTTCATTGTCGTAGGATTCAATGTGTGGGTATATCACTATTGTGCATTCGCACAGTGACTAATATGCATCTTGCTTATCACTATTATGCATTCTGTATTGCTGGTATTTTTTTACGCGTATTTTTTTATATGCAAATCTAAACTAAAATCGAACAAGATAATCAATTCGATTAGTTAACTTAATTAACTAAATAATTGAAATAATTAATATTTATATTATAAAATTATTATTATTATTTTAATACTTATATTTAATATTTTGTATCATTTTTAGTTGAAATTATATAATATATATAGGTGTATATAAAAAAAATATACAAAAAATAATTTTCTTAATAACTTTTTATAAATTGCACATTTGGCTTATAGGCTAAATTGTAATATAATAAAAAAAATTTGAATTTGCAAATTTGACCCTAAACATTATCAAATTTTCACAAGCATGCCCCCCAAATTCCTGTTTGATATTCTGTGCCGGAGCATCACCGACCGCCGCTCTCTGCTTTGTCCTCTCCTCGCCGTCGTCTCGCCGCGCAGTCGATGTGTTTGGACGGGATTGTTGGAGATGGTTAAGCTCCAATTTCGCCGTCAATCGCATGACTACGGGATTGAAGTTCCAACCGATCTTAGTTTTAATTAGGGGATGCTCCGTCAGTCGCCGTCAATCTCTCTGCGTTGTCATCATCCCGTTTGATTTCGCCGTCAAGCTCCAATTTCTCGTTTGATATTCTGTGCCAGAGCTCCAATTTCTCCGTCAATCGCCGTCAATCTCCGGCGCGGCCGAAGGGAACACGATGGTGGCCGGGAACGAAACAGTACGGCGGTAGCGGAGGAAGACGACGGCGACGCCATCAAGTCTGACGGTGGCGGGCGGCCGGACCGGCGATGGATGTGGAGTAATCACGTTTGGGCGTGTAAGTGTGTGTGGAGGTGTGTGTGCGTGTGGGGTGGGTGGGCGTGTGTGTGTGTGAGAGAGAGAGAGAGAGAAGGAGGTACGTGTGAGGCTGTGATGTAAAGTGGACAGGTGTCATTTAATTGTTGGGTGTTTTTAAGTGGGTAATTAGTATGTCTAATAAAATGTCTAAAATACCCTTAATAAATATATTAATGCTGGAATTTTTGTTACCATTGGATCATATAATCTAATGACTATGATGTATTCTTATTTCTCGCATTAAGTATCATTCTCACCGGAGCGCGACCCTATATGTATATATATATATATATATAAGATTTTGTTTGACTAAACTCACCTATCTACAAATCACATTTTCATATGTCTACCGATCTGTTTTTTATTTCCTGTTTTTTAGGTAATCAAGCCGAGTTTAAATTATGGTATCATCCATCAAATGAGTAATTGTTTAAGAAAATTAGCCGTGAAAAAAGGAAATGAGTTTTGGTTAAATTCAGTTTGTGAGTTAATTCTTCTCTTATGAACACGTTTCTGCGGACGGATGTTGCGGTATTGCAGGAGAAGGTGATTTAAATATATACAAATCCATTATCATGAAAACCATCTTTTTTTTATTAATCTTTTTACACGTGACAATTATTTTGTTAAACTTTTTACACTAATCATGGTAACAATTTTTTAAATGGGAATGCTATAATAAAAAAAAATACAAAATTTAATCTTTATTGCAAAATTAATTTATAAGTTTTTATATACATATATATAAATCGCATATTTCAATAGGAAAGATTATTTTTTTAACATATAGTTATGCACTATATACAACTTAAATGATAATAAAATAAAAACAAATACATTGTAAAGAGTTCATTTCAAAGTTATACAGATAAAGTAATCAAATTGGTCGAGACTAATGATAAAGGTATATATTCTATATTATGTTTTCATCGATTTATTATCTTTAAAAATACAATTATGCTGGATATATTATCCATATAAATATAATAAATCTACCCTAAAAACGATGAAGAGGAGTTCGCGATAACTAAACTTAATTATTTGGAATGTACATCTTGTTATATGCATATAAATAAAAAGCCAACGGTTCACCATTATACAAATCATATAGAGATGTTTTTTACTTATGTTTATTGTTTTTCACTCCACACGTATAAACTTAATTTAATCTAAATCTCTTTTTATTAAAAAGAGGTAAAATAACATTTAGTTTCCCGCCTAAACTATTTGAGTAATATTTTTTGTCAAAATTTGAAAAAATCTCGCCTAAATTAATGTACAGAATCATTTTGGTCCGATATTGCGGCTATTGCCTTTATTAGTTGCATGATTTAAATTTTGAATATAATATATTGACAAAACTTGCAGTTATTTCCTTTATTAGTTACATGGTTTAAATTTAGTATATAATATATTACAAAAAAATAAAAAAACTTTTATTTAAATTTAAAAATAAAAAATAATTATTCATAACTTACGGGTCAATATTTACTTGGACGTAAACGAAATAGTCAATTATATAAATTACGGGTCAATATTAACTTGGACGTAAACGAAATAGTCAATTATTTATAATTTAATAAATTATTCAACTACTTAATTTTTTTTATTTTAATAGTTTATACAATAATAAATTATTTGAAGTAATGAAACAATATAAATTTTATATTTATACTTATTATTCACATAGACCGTTAAATATATGATAACATTTTAACAAAATAACTATTTTATGGAATCAAATATAGTCAAATCGATTTTCTGAATCAAAATTTTGAAATGGTACATATTTTGAAACGAATATAATGTAATTTATTATCAGTTATGTGCACCACGCGGGTTGTATACTAATTTTAAACAGACATTTTTATGTAATTTTGCACAATTTAAACTTTATATAACACTTTCAATAAATTAATATAAGTAAATTGTATTACATATTGATTCCATATTTTAAATTTATAAATATTATTTAATAAGAATTTTTTTTTTTTGTAAAATTTAATAAGAATTTCTATTAATAAATATCTCTTACCCGTGCACTGCACGGGACTCATACTAGTTACCAAAGAGTATTGATTTCATTATAAGTAACATACTCATCCATTAAATTTAAGTCAGTACTCACTAAATGCATTGTTTATTCTTTCTTTTTTTTTTCCTTTTTGGGCTTGATTGTTTAGTTTTGGCTTGGACAATTGAGCTTTTATTTTTTTATATTATAATAAAAGTTAGAATGCTATTATAGATTGAATACCAAAATGACCTATCGTTAATTATGTAATTGGTAATACTAATATAAAATATAATAATAATAATGTATAACATATATATATATATATATATATATATATATAATATTTTGTACGAAAAAAATGAAACGGGACAAACGGGAC